CCCTAAGGAAAACTAAGACGCCCAAAGAGAAAGAAGAAATTGGATGCAATGGAGGACCACCATCTGAAAACATTCTCTGCATTTTGTCTTGTTTACTTATTTACTGTCTCATTCCCCCATTAGAATGTAGTAAACTCCATGAGAGGAGGGAGTAGGTCTGGCTTGTTTCAGCCATGTATCCTGGGAATCTAGAACAGTAGCACACAGCAGTATCTCTATAAATAGATTTTTAAATGAATGGCAGAAGAGTTAAGGGCCTCATGGCTATAGAGGACAGACTTGAATTCGAGTCCTGGCTTGTCATTTATTAGCTCTGTAACTTTAAGACAGTTACTAAGCTTCTCTAATAATAGTACTTAGGGCAGAGGTTTTTTGTGATTTTAAAAAGTGATTTTAAAGGGTTTATTACCTAGCAATGAATAATCTGTTTATATTTACTGATCACATGCCATATACCAGATATTGTTCTAAATGCTGAATGTGAATTAACTCATTTAATCCTCACCATAACTCTGTGAGGTAGGTGCCATCATTACCTCTATTTTTATAGTCAAGGTGAAGGAGTCGGAGAGGTTAAGTAACCTGTCCAAGGTCACACGGCAGACGTAACTTTCAAACACGGTCCGGCTCCAGAGTCCAGTTCTTAATCCCTATGCTAAACTTCCTCTCAATAAGCCTCCAGTTGTTAGTTTTTATAACATCATAGTAACTATTATTAGGAGTCAGAGGCCCTGACTCCCCGCGATGTTTACATTCTGCTGAATGACACTTGCAGCATGATCCATTCGGGGAGAACTGAGAGGGAAGGAGAGAACGTACCCAGTGAGGCGGTTCCGGATAATTTTGACGCTCATCACCGTCTCCCCCATGGTGGCAAAGGCTCTGGAGATGAAGTTCTCATCCATGTAGGGCTCCAGCTGCGTAAACACGAGAGCAGAACGACTCAGGCCAGCATCCAGGCTCCCCGTTCCCGCTTCCAGAGCCCCTCCCCCTCGGCCCAGGGTGGGCTACACGCTGCTGGCGGGCGGAGGGGTTTTCATCTGCTGAGTGGTCTGAACCCCAACTCCCGCGTCCCCACTCCCGTGCCTCCCTTCCCTTCAAACTTGCTCCCTTTAGGGAGCCTCCCCCTTGGGTTTAGGAACTTCATCCCTCCAGTCCTAGAACCACAGCGCCTTCAATCCCTGGGATTCCTCCCATGCTACCCCGGCCAAGCAGCCCCCTTCCCTTCCCTAGACCAGGCGGGGCCCCAGGACCCTCTCAGACTCAGCCCCTTCACCTGGATGTTGGGACTCGCCTGTCCGTCACCCAAAAGAACCCCCCTCTCCACTCACTTCCACCCTTTTGGGACCCGAGGACACCTCCCCCTCAGACCCTTCCTCCCTCCTCGGACCCGGGCTGACCCCCTCACTTACGTCGCCCATCCACAGGCTGGCCGCCATGCCCGCAGCCGGCCGGGACTCCTCGGGCCGCCGAGACCCGCGCCGACGCTAGTCGGCGGGGCTGGGAGCCCACGGAGCATGCGCCGCCGGCGCCTTCCGCGCATGCTCTGAAGCTCCGCGCCCAGGGCCGCGCCGGGATAGCCGGCTCCGGGTTTTTCCCGCGAGCCGGCTGGGCGCGGAGGGAGCGCCTACTGGAGGCCGCGGCGTCGGGTGGGGCGGCGCAGGCGGCGCCCAGCGCAGGCCGGTGGGTTAGTCTGGTAACAGGCATTCTAGGGTTTCTTTCTGACTTTAGGTATTTAAACACACATACACATACATATAAAGTTAAGAAAGTAACATATGTTACTTGTAAACAATTGCAAATATAAGCACATTTTTTTAAAAAGTGGAAAGTCCCCTTTGGGAGCCTGGACGATCCAGTTCCACTAACTCTGTGTGCCCTTGGGCAAGCCACTGGTCCGCCCCAGCTGCCCGTTCACCCTGAGTTTTCCAGTTTGCAAGACACAGATTTTTGTTGAACCTGGAATGGGATTCTCCCATCATTCCCATTGGGAATGGAATGGGGAGAGGGGAGGGTTAAAAGGAGTGTAAATTGGGGCAACCCAGTCGTCTCAGCAACCAATCAGTTCCCAAGTCTTCTCACACTACTTTCTGGACTCCTACATCCACTTCCCTAATTGAAAGTGCCAGCTCTAACCTGTTCCAGAACAGTGGCCTGCCCATAGAAGGCCCTCAGTAAACACGATTTCGATGACTAGATAATCCTGATAGTTTGACTCTCCTAGTCTGGGAGTGTCCCAGGCCTCAACCTCACTTTGGCGCCCATTTCTCAGAATGGGAAGCATCTGTACGAGGCGATTGTCATCTCTAACTGAAGCTCACCTCAAGTGATTGAGGATCCTTTTCTGGGGCTCCCTCTGGGCTGATGAGCTGCTAAAGCCCTTCCTTACCAGTTAATACATCCTAAGCACGGGGCTGGCCCCGAAGTCAAGCACTAATCTGTCTGAAAAGTGAGATCCAATCACGAGTTGCCAAATTTCCAGCTGCATCCTACTCACTGCGATAGTAATGTAGTGGTTAGGAGCTTTGGCTATAGATTTGAACAACTGGCGTATCAGTCCTAGCCACCCCCCCATAATTATTTTGGCAAGTTATTCAACCTCTCTGAGACTAACGATGATAGCAATGCTTACTTCATAGGGCGTTGCAAGCAGAAAATGAGAAGTTGGGAAAGCATTTGGCCCAATGCCTGGCGTCCAGTAAATTCTCCAATATGGCAGTTGGAGGTCTTCAAATAACTGATAGCTATTTATTTAGTACTATTTGTCAGCTCCTGTGCTGTGCTCTTTGCTTACTATTTTTTAAATTTATTTAACATGTGGAAGACTTTTAAATACTTATTTTTAATTTATGAGACAGGGATCTTTGTCCATTTTGTTTCTAATCAAAATCCTACAACAATGTCTGGGATATGGTAAGCACTGAAAAAAATATTTGAATTTATGACATAAACAACAAACAGCAGTCCCTTTTCCCAGCTATCCCTACCCCCAACTCCCACTGCCTTGAGGCACTCATTTCCAAATCTTTTCTCTAGAATCTGTCTGCATATTTCTAAATAACACACTTTCTCTTCATTTATAGTTTCAAAAATTTCAGCAACTGCCCCTCACAGAGGCACACTTCTCCATCTTCTGATTATAGTTTTTGTCAAAGCAATGTTGAACATTCGCATTACTACAACTTCGTAAATATTATTTATAGCTGAGCCATATGCGGTACTATGGTTATATGTGTTTTGGGATAACCAAACAATGGTTGGGAGATGGAGGAAAAGATAAAATTGAGAGGACTTAATGTGTCTGAATACACAAAAGGAGATTTACACTTCTGTTATGGACATTGGCACTGAATCAATGATAGTTATACCATAAAGCTAAGCATGTGAAAAACAAGGCAATTATTAACTACAGGGAATAAGAAAATTTACAATAGTCATAACAGCAAACACTTATGGAGCGTTTACTGTGTGCCTGTCACTGTCCTAACGCATGTAAAGCATCTACAGAGAGCTTTATAACTCTTACGTGCAAGACAAAGAAAAGGAATTGAGGTCCTGGGCTCAGGTGGAGGCTGATTTAGATCCCAGTCTGGTCCGTGCACTTGGTAGCTTCTAGACTGCAAGCAAGTCTCTTGACCTCACAGGGACTCTTTCTGGAGGGACAGCAATAACTATTCTGCAGGGCTGATGTGAGGATTAAATGAGCTATTATTGCATGTAAAGTGCTCAGCACAATGCCTGGCCCATCTTAAGCGCCAATCCACAAGAGGTGTTATTAAGAACAGGGTACTTTCAATCTGTTCTATTGTCAAAAGGGAAAACTCCAGTAAATTTAATCCAAATGGACTTTTTTTGGGGGGGGAGGGGAAGAGTAGAAGACACACAAATGCTTCTCTACAAAGAAAATATAATCAGGGCCACCCTGTGGTGTAGTGAAGTTCGCGCACTCCGCTTTGGCAGCCGGGTTTGGGGGTTCGGATCCCGGGTGGAACTATGTGCTGCTTGTCAAGCCATGCTGTGGCAGGCGTCCCACATACAAAATGGAGGAAGACTGGTACAGGTGTTAGCTCAGAGCCAATCTTCCTCACCAAAAAAGAAAATATAATCAAAAGTGTGATTTTTCCCATCTAAGAATTTCTAATCAGTACAGTGTTTGCATCAAAACTAAAAATTCAAGGGAAAACAAAAATCACAGAATACATTTTAAGTTATTTTACATCATATTCATTTTTCCAAGAAGTCCCTAACATCCAAGAAGAATCCTCCTGGTGCTAATAAAACTTTCCTGTTATACATACACAGACCTGTTGTATCAGCATTGTCCACTGTAACTTTCTGCAATTATAGAAAGGTTCTATATATTTCTATGTTTCCAGAGTCCAATGCCACAGGCACTAGCTAAGTGAGGTTACTGAGGACTTGAAGGTGGCTGGTGCAACCGAGGAAGTCAACTTTAAATTTTTACAAATTTTAATTGATTTAAATGTAGATAGCCACATGTAGCTAGAGACCACCATAGTGGACAGGTCAGTTCTCTGATTTGGTTACTCAAATGCCTGTGAAAATCTACATTAATATGCATAAGGTGTCTGAAGAGCTACTGCGCACCTAATCATGTTTAATCAATTACATCAGGTGTTGAAAATGATACAACAGCAAGCTTAGTATATTTCTAGAGATGTACTGTACTTAAAGGTCTTGGTTTAGGATTAGAATATTAAAACACCCACCCCGTGTTTTTCATATTATGCAACATAATTTAAAAAAAAATCCAGTGATTCCTGAAACAGAAACACCTAAGCAAAAATCAATCAACTTTTTTCTCTTTTTGGATTTGTATGGACAGCTGAACATCAACAGCTGACTGGCACACACCAAGACATCCTGACATCACTGAAGTCGTAGACGTGACCAGGTTCATACGCGTAGCTTGTCTGCCCTTCCCAACACAAGCAGGTGCTCCCTTAAAAGAGCAGGGAGTGTGCAGAAAACAAATGGCCTGTTTTATAAAACTCTAAATTTATTCAAAGTGTTAAAAGATTTCACTCTCCCCTCCAAAATACTTTACATTTAAAAAAATCAAAACTGTTTTCTATTTTCTCAGCCACTGTCCAAGCTGCTGCCTCCCCTTCTGGGGACCAGCCTCTGCCCCTCCAACCCTCTTCCCCTCCCTCCCTTCACTATCAATATTGCTATAAGTTTGTTTATAAAACCCCGCTTCTCTTTCCCCCACCATGTCCTGCCCTGTAGGTGTGGCTTCCTTCCCAGATTTCAGGCCCTTGGCTGCAGGTGAGGCAGGTTGGACGGATGGATAGGAAGGTAATACCTGAAGAGCAGAATGCTTTGTGCTTCTGGGAGAAAGGCTGATTGGCTTTATTCTTGATCAAGTGGAGGATCTTTTTTTTTTTGCTCCATGGGCACCTGTTCAGGGCCAAATATTTGGCTTGGGGTTGCCCATGGCTGAGTAGCCCTGCCCCTTCTCCAGTTTCCCCCAGGCACAGGTCCATGACAGCCGGGTCTGATGACTATACCATTTGCCTGCCTGTGGACTGTGAAGGACAGAAGAGTGGCACATGACTAGAGTAGGAGCCCCGATTCTCAGAGTGTGGGCACCAAACAACCAGGGGAGGAAGTTTTGGTTTTTGGTAGGCAAACCAGGGTTAGCCAGGACCATGGGAGGTAGGAATGAGGGGGGAAAGGTCTAACCACATAGCTCTGGCATGAGCAATGTTCATTCTGATAAAACTCTCTCCCCTCTTCCATCCCCTCTTTATCCTGTAGGTCCAAGGATGATTCCAGACAGGAGGAAGAAAAAGACGGAAAAGATTCTGTTCTGCTGATGGGAAAAAGGCAGGAGATAACAGAGTCCTTGGGGCTGGGGGAGGCCTGCTGGAATCTGTGGTTGTCACGGCTTCCCTGTTCCGGGAGGGAGGGTGGTGGGGCCGGGAGCCAGGCCCTCAAGGCTTCATCAGCTCTGCTCCTTGTCCTTGACTAGTAAGACTGTGTGTTGGCCCCCACTGGACACAGATAAGACCACACGGTTCTCCAGCTGTTTGCCTGTCATCTCCACGGGGCTCCAGGCATCCTCCTCCTGCCCCGTGCCCAGCTGGTAGTTGGTGCCCATGCCCCAGGCAAAAACACGACCTACAAGGGAGAGAAATTTGGGCAGCTGTCTCTAGGATCTCTAGCTCCATCTCTCTGTAGCATGAGAAGCCTAAGACATCAGCATGAATTCTCGCCTCAGCCTGTAGCAGCCTGGCAATGTCCCAGTCTCTGAGAGTTCAGGGAAGATGGGAGAAGCCAAGGAGATGATGGATAAGAAAAGAGTTTCATCAACTAGAGACCACAGTCCTTACACACTGCCAAAGACGTCTCCCTGGTCCTAGGCATGGCATTCAAGGCCCTATATGACTGGCCACTCCCCAAACCCTTACACCCCGCCCCCTTCATTCCCAGGATCAGCAAGTTTTGAGACTGCTCTGGATGTCCTGTGCCCAGGATGCCCTCCTTTGCTTATCGTAAAGGACTGAACCTTCAAGGTGTAGTACATGCCTCATTTCCTCAGGAACTTTTTCCACATAATCCCAGATCCAGCATCTCCACCAGCCCCAGACTTCTTTTCAAAGCCTCCACGGCTGTCCCACTCACCCACTCAGGCTCTGGCAACCATCTGTGCACACTCTCCTCTTCTGAGCTTGCCAGGACCCCAACTACTAAGCCTTCTTTCTCTTACAACTCCCTGGCAAGCTAGCCCATATTAGGTTGTACATAAAGGGGTCACCATGGTGGAAAACATAAAGAGAAGCTTGAGTTAGGGGTCTGGAGACCTGGGGTCAAGTCCTACTGCCTGTCTGGGCCTCAGTGATATATGCCCCTTTGCTGTTTTTCTCCTCTACAGAACAAACCACTTTTATTAAAATAATCTGTTTACTCATTTTATGTTCATCAAAGCCAGAGCTTCTGACAATCAGGAGAAAAGTGAAGTCATCACAGACACTGCTCTCTGCATCTCAGCTACATCTGATGACAGATGTCAGAGCTGGCTGGGCAGTTGGGTAAGAATCACGACCCCCAGGCCCCAACCAGACCGAGTGTGGGCAACCCCACTCACCATCCTTGGTCACAGCATACCCCACAGAGGCCCCACAAGCCACTGAGGAGACGGCAGGCAGCCTGGAGATGAGGGTGGGTATGCTCTTCTCCTCAGCACCCTCCCCAAGGCCCAGCCGCCCATACTCAGCCCGGCCCAGGCTGTATGCTCTTCCTGTGGGAGGAGGGAGAGAGATGAGGAGTAGCAGAGGGCATGCTCCAGGTAGGCCAGGTGAGTTCCTGTATCGGTGGGAGCTGGTCCCCATCCCCAGGGTGTGGAGAAAGAGGTCTGCAGTGTCTCTTCCAGTTTCAGGGGAGGCCTGGGAGAACCCCCATAGGCCCCCACTGAACTCATATTTGGAAGAGCACCAGGACTCTGGGGGAAAAGGGTGACCCTTACGGACCCACATCTGGCCACACCTGGAGCAGTCCCAGGTTCCAAGGACCATGGTCTCAGGAGTGTGGCCAGGTCTGTGCCTAGCAAACACTCCACCACCAACCCAAAGGTCCCACCTTCTGAATCCATGCAGACTGTATGGTGCTGGCCACCAGAGAAGCCCACCCAGGACTTGGTGGAATTCTTGAAGGATGTCAGGTTCTGGGGTACAAAGCAAGATTCTGTGCCTGGGGTTCCTGGGGGAAGAGGCCAGGATAGAGTTGTCAGGGGTGAGGGTGTCCGAGGAACTGTCCTTTCATCCCTCCCACAGTGAGCCGCACCCCCACCCCCACCCGGGTACGGACAGCCTCACTTTATACATGACAAAACTGTGGCTGTGAGGGGCTAGGTGACCCCACCAAGGGTACACAACAAATGAGGGGTAGAGTCAGGATTGGCACCCAGGTCACTCTGGGCTATGCTGGATGCTGGGCTTGAGACTCACCAAGCTGATGGTAGTTGGAGAGGCCAAAGCCGTATACATGGCCCTCGTGGGAGATGGCAAAGGTGAAGTAAGCGCCACAGAAGGCATCCTGGAACCTCACGTGGCCCCGGCTTCCCCTGGACTTCAGCATCACACACTTGGGGACCAAGAGTCGTTCTGCAGGCAGAGAGGAGGCCAGGGTCAGTGGCAGACACACACGGCCTCTCCTCTCTGCCCTGTGTTTTCCTCCATTAGTACAGGCCTCGGAGGGAGGCTAGGCAGGGACTCTTCTCCCTGTTATACAGAAGAGGAAACTGAGGCTGAGAGAGTCCAAGTGCCTCACTCAGACTCCCACACCCATAAGAGGTAACATTTACATGGAACTTACCATGTGCCAGATATTCTTCTATGTTAACTCATTTAACTTCACAAGAACCCAATGAGGTAGGTTTACAGGTAGGTAGGTTTAGAGACGAGGAAACTATGTCCAGGGTCCCATAGCCAGTTGGTGGTAGAACCAGGATTCAAGCCCAGGGTGGTCTGGCTCCAGAGTCAGAGTTCTTAACTACCACCGCAGGTCTATATGATGTAAGCCTCAACACACAAAGAGAATCCTTCCTGCCTTTGACCTTCATCAGGGGGTGGCTTGCCAAGTTGCCCCGCCAGAGGGACCTAAGCCACCTACCAAGGCCCTGCCGGCCACCACGATTAGCAAATAATTCAGGTACACGGCCCAGCTGGCCCTGCTCCCCGCAGCCCAAAGTGTAGAGGTCGCCATCAGCTGTCAGCATCACCAAGTGGTCATTTCCTGAGAGTGAGAAGAAGGCAGGGATGCAGAGCTTGTCTGTAAGGCCCAAAACAAGGTTCTCCAACTCCTGTCCAGAGCGAGTACCCCCAGACCCACCTGAGGCCACCTTCACCACAGGCATACTCAGCTGCACTTGCACGGGCACCATGCTCTTCTTCATGGGCTCCAAGAGCCCGATCACACCATTATTGTCCTGGAAGGGAGGGGCAGAGCACTCACCAGCCAGTCCTGCCTGCTCCTTACCAGCCAGATACAGGCTGGCGGGCAGCTGCAGAGCTGTCTGGTGAAGGGCACTGGTGGCAGATGGGGATAGAGGGGTGGGCAGGAGCCAGGCCACATAGTGAAATACTTATGAATGAAATCATACGTGGTCTGTGATTTGCATTAAAGTAAGGGGAGTCGGGGAGTGGACAGGAGTGGAGAGGAAACAAGTTTGGCCACAAGTTGATAATTGTTGAGGTGAGTAGAACAGGTTTTCAATATATTATTCTGATTATTTTTATGTGTTTAAAATTTTCCATAAAAAAAATTTTAAAATAACCCTGATGAGGAAATAGCTCATCGGATTCCTTCATTTTTGACATTTCAAAATAAATTAAATACCAAAGAAGCAAAACAATTTTAATGCTGAATCTGCTTTTTAAACTACATTCCTGTCTTGGAAATTCTGAGATGTGACAATTTGCCCCCCAAATCCCTGAGAAGTGTGGAAGAGGGCTGGGCCATGGCGGGGTTGAAGGCAGGGAGACGGGTGAGGACAGCAGGCTTCCTGGATCAGCCTCAGCCCAAAGGCATCCTTGACCCACCTCTTGCCCAAGACACACACTTCATAACATCAGATTCAAGGAAACAGCCAGTGGTGTAGACAGGCCTGGATGAAGAAACCAGAGACCTGGGTCTGGGCCTTGATTTCCTCACCAGTAAGTACAACAGGGGCGCGGAGATGGGTTATCCTTGGGGCCCCACCAGTTAATTCTGCCTGCCAGCTCCCATGCAGTCTTCCAGACCCAGTCTTACCCGGAAGGAGCCCCAGAGGAAGACACGGCCATCCTCGGTGAGGGCTGCTGTGTGACTGTCTCCTGCTGACACCTGTACCACCTTCTCTTGTAGTTCCACTTTCCCGGGGACCATCTCTGAGCCCTCCACTGATGTGTCCCTTCCCAGGGCACCCTCATCATTGCAGCCGAAGGAGTAGACCTGTGCCCAGGATGCCCCAATTAGTGCAAGGTCTGGCCTCTTAGTCCCTTCTTGGTTAGGCCACTCCCTGTTCAGTTTGCCACCTCCATCTACACAGAGGAATGTGTGGCTCAAAGCTCCTTCCGCAAGCCCCCCAACCCCAGGCCCTGTCCAATCCTGTGCCCCCCTGCCCCAAACCTACCTGACCACTTTTGCTTAGACACACAGTGTGCATGCCCCCAGCCTCGGCCTGCACAACATCCTCTGGAATGGCCACCAGGGCTGGCTTCTTCCTTTCCAACACATTCTCGCCCAGTCCCAGCTGGCCCACATCGCCCTGGCCCAGCGTCAGCACCAAGCCGGGTTCTGTGCTGTGGGACCTATGTGAGACTGAGGGGTGAAGAAGACAGTCCCTGAGTGTGTAGGATGACAGGAGAGAGGAGCGGGCACTGCATGGGTTCTGGGATCACACAGACCTGGGTTCAAGCCCCTGCTCTGCCACAAACCATTAGTATGACCTTTCTAAGACTAAGTTTCTTCATCTGTAAAATGGAGATAGCAACAGTACCCGTCTCATAGGTTTTTGTGAAAACTGAGCACTGTATTAACACGAGAGGGAGGAAAGGGAAAAAACGAGGCAATCGATCTTGTGAAATGAATCTTGGTGGGGAAGGGAAGAGAACAGTGGGGACACAAGATAGTTGTCCTGATTGGCTGTAAGTTTTTGGTCAGGAGCCATGGTGCCAACAGTGAGGGCTCAGGTAATGTCCACCCTTTACTGACTGCTTACTCTACTAATGTTAAATTGCTTTGTAGTCTTCCATATTACCCTACAGACCTTCCATATTTAAGATGTCGTTTTATAGGAATGGGAACAGAGGCTCAGAGAGGTCAAGGAATGTTCTCGGGGTCATAGAGCTAATAAGTACTAGAGTTTGCACTGAAATCAAGGGAGTCTATCTGGGTCAGAACAGTCTCTAGCCTCCATCCTCAGGCTGCGACTTCACTGCTGGACCTAGTCACACTGAGCCCCTCCGCTCCTATTAGGGAGCAGACTGGCGACTAAACAGAAGAGGCAGGAATAAGGACCGACACAGGTTTGCGGACAGGCACGCGCCAACCAGTGGGCGGCATAGGGCCATCTGCTGGCCAATGACGGCCGCCCGCAGCCCAGAACAGCCAATGGCTTCCAGCCCCTCCCCCTGGGGGTGTGGCCACGGCACCCAGGGCTGCCGCGACTGCGCAGAGGGTGCCCTGGGCAGGAAGCCACCCGGTCGGGTTTTCTGGTCAGAAGGGCTCGGCCCGCAGGCACCTCGGCAGGAGCGGGCGCCCGGAACGTGGCGGGAGGCAGCGGCCCTCACTGCCTGGTTACGAGGGTCTGCAAAAGACAGACACTGTCTGAGTGTGGGTCCACAGTTCCCTGGCCCAGACTGGGGGTGGACTTCTCTCCGCCCCGTCTCCCTCCAGGGTCCCCGGAGAGGAGAGCACGGCCACCTCCCTCAGATGCTACCAGGGCAGGATCTCTGTCTCCTCACAACAGCCCAGCGAGGCTGGTGCTGTTCTCGCTTCTATTTTATGAATGGGGTAATCCAAGCTCAGCAAAGGTAGTGTCTTGCCCAAAGTGACTCAGCTAGAAAGTGGCAGAACCAGGACTTGAACTCAAGTCTGGAAGTCAGTGGTCCTAACCATAATGCATTACTGCCTGAGTGCTTTTAGACAAGTCTCTGCCCCTGTACGATCCCCAGACGGTGGGATTCAATGAGCTACAGGAGACCCTCCAGCTGGGTGGAGTTCCCATACTTCCAGGCCCCTCAGCTTCAAACGTCAGGGAGGAAGGAGCCTAGTCCCCGATTCCCGGGGCTCCAGGAGGCCACTCACACCGAGAGAGATGCCAAGGCCAACTTACCCTTCGCCTTCTTGCTTTTGGGGAGGGCATCTTCTGGAGGTGACCTTCTCTTAGCTATACGCTTGGGTGGCATGTTCCTGTCCTGAAAAACCCAGGCAAGTACTCCATGTCAGAAATGGCAATCGTTTTTCCTGCTCTATTTAGGCAATGTTCATCAAAAAACCCTAAATATGGTGACAAGAATTGCCCAGCAATTTGACTTCTCAGAATTTATCTGAGAACAAGAACAGAATAATAGATACACCCAAAGACTAAGTTCTACAAATATTCTCTGCTGTTTTCTTCATAACATTCAAAAAACACAAAAACAACAAAAAATGGAGCAACCCATGTGCTCAGGGACTGGCTAGATAATATACGGTATATTCACAACAGAACAGTATGAAGTCATTAAGTGATGTTTTTGCAGATTTATTTATTGAACAGGAAGATGTTCACCATTGCCAAATAACATAAGTAGACTGAAAAGCAGTCCAACATCCCATTTTTCAGGGAAAAAAAATGCATACACATGTAAAAAAATGTGTAGACAAATATGTGCGAAGAAATACATACAATATCAATAATGGTAACCTCTGGAAAATGGGATTATGGACAAATTTTACTTTTTTTTGTACCTTCCTATATTACCTAAGGTGTTTACCAAGGAGCATTACATGTATTTTTTATTTTATTGTAAAAAATTAAAACCTTGAAGAACAACATTAAGTGAAGTATCTCTCATAACTCCCCCAATCCTGAGATAACCACTAGTAATTCTGGTGATGCATTACTGTTATTGTCAGACCAAAAAAAGAGGAAGCTATTTTCATTAAATAAAACCAAACCAGACCATTTGTGCCCTTTGATCCAAAAGTGCCACTCCTGGGAGGAACCTGGCTTTCCTAAACAGTCCAACAAGAGATAAATATCGTATGTACACGAACACACAAACACCAGGTGTTACAAAAGGGGGAAAGGAAGTCACCTATGGATGACAAGAAGGGTGTAGGACCTGGGATGATGCAGGGCAGCTGACATCCCTGAGTGCTCCCCTCCTCTAACTGCAGCCACCTCCCCCAGGTCTCCATGTCTCCCCCGAGGCTGCTGAGAACACAGATGTTCTCCTCAGCTCTCTCAATTCCAATCCAGCCCAAACTGTGTCCAAAGCCTTTTTCCTCCACACGTGCAGCTCTGGAAAGAAATCTTTATTGAGCCCTGGTCTTGAAGGTTGTGAAAGACAATCACATTGTCTAACCCTGGGCTTACAAACTCTGGACTGTGATCCTTCTGGAATGGATGGTTCGGGCCAGAGCACTTTCGAGTTATCCAGATGCAGAAATGGTATAGCACGGGGCAGTTAAAAGCACAGCCTCTGGAACTCGAAGCTAGACTCAGCTACTTTCTAGCTGTTTGACCTTGGGCTAAGCCATTTAATCTCTTCATGATTCAGTTTCCTCATCAGTAAAACGGGGATAATAATAGTTTCTACACCTTTATGAGTTGTAGGATTAAATGAGTTAATACTATAGAAATAATTACATAGAAAGTGTTCGATAAATTAATACTGGTGTTGTTATAACATCGAGGGCCTGCCCCAGGTAATGCTCAGGCACAGCTCTAATCTAACCCACCTCTCCTCCATTTTATAGATAAGGGACAGAGACTCTACCCAAGGCTACAAATGGAATGAGAACTCCAAGAGCCCTTCTCAGGTTCACCTGTGGGCCAAACCAGCACCCCTCTCCCGCATTCCTTCCTCCGCTCCTTCCAGTAGATCCTAGAGCCCCAGCCTCTCCAGGTCCCCACTACTTTATGGTCTATGAACACACAGCCAGTGGCCTCTGAATTTCTGGGCACATTTCTGCTGACTATCCCGAGGGAGGAGACCAGAGTACTGAAGATGAGGAAGCAGCCAAAGGCCTAGAACCTGTCCCGCCTGTGCAGGTGGAACTTCGACAGGTTGTGACTGGCCCAGCTCTGACTCTGAGAAGGTGGCAGTTCTGAGCCTCACCCAACTTTTGGTCTCCTGGGGTGGGACTCCACCCTTCCAAACTGCTTCTTTGAGACCCCTCTTTCCACACTAAAAACGCACATTCTGGGGGATTAGAGGGAACTGGATTCACCTGCCAGAGCTGTGGCTCGCTCGCCCCTGCTTTTGTGACCATGGTTAGCCAGCAGCCTCACCCTCTCTGAGCTGTATCCTCGTCTGTAAAAAGGGAGGCCATGACTACTTCTCTGGGCTGCCGGCAAGACTGAATGAAATGTCTGTGAAAGACTGCAGTGCTAAGCACACAGTAAGTACTCGGTACACACCAGCATTTATCCATTCATTCCACGAGTATTTACTGAGGGCCTATTACCACCGCTTGGCTTTGGGCCAGGTGTAGCAAGGACTAAGGAGACTAACCCTCTCCCTGTTCTCATGGAGCTGACATTCTAGTAGGAAAGAAAAAACACCAAATTATTAGATGGCACTGTGTGAAGGAGAGGCAAGGTGATATGATAAGAGAATAACTTAGGGTCACACAACAACGTGAACGTGCTTAATGCCACAGAACTGTACACTTAAAAATGTCAAAATGGTAAATTTTATGTTATGTATATTTTACAACAAAAAAAATAAAAAGAGAATAACTGAGATGGGGAAGAGAGTGGTCAGGGAGGTGACATTTAAGGTAAGACCTGAAATACAAGAGAAAGCCAGCAGGAGAAGACCTGGACAAAAGCGTTCCAGGAAACAGTGTTTAGGAACCTGGGGAGGCCAGTGCGACTGCAGCTGGAGCAGGATGTCAGATGGCACAGGGTGAGCAGGGGCTGGATCACGCAAGGCCTTAAAGGGAAAACAGAAAACTTTTAAGAATGACTTCACCAAATTTGCATTTTGAAACGACTGTTGTTCTGCCTACTGTAAAGAAAACGGAATGGACTGGAAGAGGAGGCCACAGCAGGCATCCACGTGAGAAACGAGTGTGCCTCGATTTGGTCTGAGGCAACAGAGAAAAGTAGACAAAACAGATCAACTGAGGAGACAGACTCGATTTGCCAGGGGATTAGATGTGGGGAGTGAGGAATCAGGATCCCCCTGGGAGCTTGGCCAAACACAAGGACTCCCAGGCTTTGGTTTAAATGATGGATGGTAGACTTCCGTTTAGTGAGATGGAGAACACGGTGGGACAAAGGAGAGGGACCTGGAGCTCCATTTTACCAGGTGTTTTCATTAAGTCTGAAGTGCTTAGGAGCCAACCAAGAAGGGATGTTAAGTAGGCAGGGCTGGGTGGGTCAGGGGGTGTGGGATATAACAGGTAGCCCTTGTTTCAGGTAGACAGCTTGTACTCCTGGCCAGGCTGGCAGCCAGTTCATTGTGTCCAGGGCTCTGTCCTGCCAAAGGCAAACCTCCCGTCAGTTCATCCAAATGACTTGTAGCAGTCAGCTGTGCCGGGGAGGGACACTGTGAAGTAGCATAGAAAAGCACTTACAACAATAAGTTCAGTGAAAAAACAGGAAACAGAATGATATCAGCACACTGGTACTGATGCTAAGCTGACCCGGAGGCAAGGCCTGGAGTGGAGATAGAAAAATAAATATGAGATGGTTGGTAACATGGGGCACCAACAAAAAAATGTGTTACTGTGGGTTGGGACCCACCCAGTGAAGATCTCCTTAGCCACCTGTGTTTTGGCTAACATTCTAGGGCATCTCACTGCAAGCTGGCCACACTGATCCCACTCTACAGATGAGGAAACTGAGGCTCAGAAAGGTGAAGTATCACACCCAAGATTAGAGGAGGAAACCAAGGTCTCAACCAAGTGGGCCAGACTCAGAGCTGGTGCCCTTGCCTACTTCCTCCGCACACTCCCGGGTCTCTCGGCCTGCCTGGGAACTGTCTCTCCTACCTTCCCCGCCCAGAAAAGACTAGAACTTGTCTCTGGTCTTCCTGCTCCACCCCCATCCCGTTTTACAAGTCATTCATGATCTTTCTAAATCTCGAGTCTGAAACAAGCTGCTTCCTTGCTCAGACTCCTCAGTGGTTCCCTCTGTCTGGAAGATAAAGACCCTATTTCTTAGCCTGGTATGAGGCCTCCAAGGTGCAGGACTGACATAACTTGGCCTCGTCCCTTACCTGTCACATCCTCCTTTCTCTTCCCACACAATCTCAGGCTGTTTACTGTTCTCTCCATTCCACTTGCACCTCTGGATCTTCCCATCCCTTATCCTACTGGAAGAACTGGTCCTCAGACTCACTTCCACTGGGAAACCACCTGTGATCCCTTTCCCAATCCTAAAGGAATCATTCTCTTCCAGGGAAATCAGGACAGACTTTTGCATCATAATGACTCTAATTTACATGTTTATCCACCATAACAATCTACTCCTTAACATATAAGCCTCTCTGGGGCAATGGCCACTCCCATATTCTATATGCCAACAAGCTTTTACTTCTGACAAGCTGAAAAAGAAGGCACTACCACTCCTATTTCACAGTAAAGGGAACTGAGGATCAGAGACGTAAATTTACTTGCCTAAACTCACACAGCCAGTAAAGGAGAGCCAGGAACAGAACTGAGGTGTATCTGATTGATTAAAAATAAATAAATAGGTCGGCTAAAAGCAAGCCACAATCCAGCAGGGGTGGAGGCAGCCTCCCCAAGATCCCCCATGAGCTTGGCCCAACACAAGCAGCAGAGGACAGAAGCCAGCTGAGAAGAAGAAGAGGGTGAGACCAGAGAGGAGACACTGAGGCAGCCTGAGAGGACGGGCCAGGTGGGTGATGGATCCACTGAAGCACGTGGGGAAGGACACTGGGTACAACTCCCTGCTGCAGTGCGGAGAGCACCGGCTTTAGAGTCCGACAGAGCTGAGTTCTCCTGGAGCTTGAGAATCTTCATCTCTCAAATGGAGAACGCCAGGCACTGCACAGTGCTGTTGTGAGCGATGCCGGAGGCAGGAAGGGCGATGAGAAGGCACCTTCTAAAGGTGGAACCCTGTGTATCCTCCACTGCACACATCAGTCCTTTATACAGACGCCCTCTCTCGCTGCTCTGGGTGTGTTTTCCTAACCAGACAGTGAGCGTCTGGGCTGGGAATAAGTAGTATTCTTTT